GAACTCAAAGGCCGTTCTACATTAAACGCAAGTCGCAGATCTCGTGGAATTGACCAATTGCAGAGTCAAATCAGCCAATCGACCAACGTGATTGATCAGTTCCACGAGATCTGCGACTTGCGTTTAATGTAGAACGGCCTTTGAGTTCCACTTTTGTGGAACTACGGCTAAAACCAGCGGCTGAAACCGTCGTAAAAAATTACAATAGGATGGCCGCTCTCAGATTTCTCTCTGCTGGTAGTATTAACAAAAGAGAGGAGAGCGTACATTGAGCGAAAACACTTGGAAAAAGCCACCTCCTCTACACTGTAGGGAGGGCTGAAACCGTTATGATATAAATCGATTACTAACTTATCAGAGTGGTCCTTGTACATAGGACACTGGAGGAAGACGTGGTTTACATCTTGTACAGGGTGGCCACACGGGCACTCCGAGGAGGCCACAATGCCTTTCCGTTTCAAGTGTAGGTTGACACCCGTGTGATGTGAACGTATTCTAAACACGAGTGTGATCAATGGGCGGGGTAGGACCTTCTTTTTCTTTACTTTGACAAACCAGGGTTTACCCAGCGGTACAGGTTTTTTCAGGAAATACGCGGTTCCCTTGCTGGTTGCCTCTTCCAGTAGTTGTCTCTTAGCCATGTCTAGCGCTTCTCGCCGAAGTGTGGGGAACAGCGAAGAGACGTCGAGCCCACCCTCCGAACGTGGTTCAGCGAGGGTTAGAGCGCGTTTAGCGTACCTATCGGCCAACTCATTGCCTCTAACATTGCTGTGTCCAGGAACCCACATCAGCACCACAGATACACCTGTATCCCTCAACCCCATTACTATTTCCTTTATGCGGTACACGAGAGGGGAGTGTACTCCTTTGGGATCAGTTGACCCCGAACAGGAGATCACGCTCAACGAATCAGAGGCCACAACGGCCTTTGCGAACCTAAAATCTTGTAAGTACTCCAGGGCGCAGATAACGCCCTGGGCTTCAGCGTCGAAAATAGTAGAGTTATTGCTAACGCGTTCATAGTGGATAAGCTCCGGATCCTCCGAAACCACAGCGAAACTTACCGCGGGTGACGTTCCGTCCAAGCCCGGAGCTCGGGAGCCGTCAGTGAAGAACACCCTAGAGACGTCCCGACTTTTGAGGAAGTTGCTAAAGCAGTACTGAGGGTCTTCCGCCTGGCGTATAAGTAGTCCAGTATCAGTGTCTACCTCGCACTTAAAGTATCCGGCATGAAACGGTAGGGCAAGGCTTCCCGGAAGTGCAAACCTTCTAATTTCTTTAAGATGACACTGAAGTTCCTGATACACGGAAAAGAGGCCGAACTCATTAGTTGGGCACACGGGTTTCCACGTCCTGCAGGAGTTTTCTAGGATTTGTCCGAGAGGGTGACTAGGACACAGTTGAACCAGAGAGAAATCTATATATGTAATACCAGAGAGAAGCCTGAGAGTGGCCAAGCCCATAAGAGTTTTTACGATCGCTATTCCGGGGCTGTGTTCAGTTAAGCAAGATGGAACGAACTAATGCAGGAAATGCAGGAAATACAGGAATTGGAACTAATGAAAGTAATGAAACTAATGAAAGAAGTGAAGATAGTGAAAAAAAAGAAAGTTGGCTCCCCTGATCTGTTGCGGAACATGTGTAGTGGCAAATTTGGAACCTAAACAATTATTCAAGTTTCCATTCAGTATATTTGTAAGAAAACGAAACTAAAACTAAACATGGCAAATAACGTCATTGACAATGACTTGGTTTTGGCATTAATCGATGATGACGAAGAACTGAATTTTATTGTTGAGATGATATTTGACGACGAGTTAGAAGAAGGTAACCTGTCTGTCATTTTTTTGTAACCTCTTGAAAGTTTTGAAATTGAGAAGCATTCGGTTATTTTTCAGATGCTGGTCGAGGAGTTCATCCTAATTATTTGCACAGCCGCTCTTTTGACTNGTGGTTAGCCCTTGAAGATCCCGACTTTTGTCAACATTTTCGAATGCCGAGAGCTACATTTGAGGTTAGCAATTTGTGCCTTTTTTATCTGAAGTAGTTGTATTGATGAGTTTCTTAAATTCNAATTGCNGTCTACATGTTTTCANTTGCTGACCGAAGCATATGAAAACCATCTGCGGAATAACCAACGGCTCATCCGAATCAGGACAAATCTGAAAATTGCGCTCATGATGGGATTGTGGATTCTGATGACAGGAGATACATTTCNAAGTACTGCAATCAATTTTGGGGTGTCGAAGAGTGTGATTTTTTTTNACTATATTGTGCTTATTGAAGCTCTTCGTGAAATGGCTCCAACATACATTTCCTGGCCTGATGCTNTGGAACGTGATGCTATCAAAGTGAGGATTGAACTGAAGTATGGTTACCCTGGAGTTGTAGGCTGCATTGGTGGCACCAATATTTATGTCACAGCACTTCTGGCCCAACCAGCAGCATATATCAATTGCCATCACAGCTATTCTATTTTAGCACAGGTTGTTAGTGATGATAACCTCTTAGTCAGGGATGTGTATGTTGGTGAGCCAGGGAGTGTAGGTGATGCGAGATGTTTTAGCAGAAGTCCCTTGTTTAGGAATCTCACTTCCAGATNAGANATGATGTCTGANGATGAGCATTTGCTTGGAGATGGAGCATACCCTATCAGTAATCGAGTTCGTACACTATTCCTTAGTTAATGGCAGATAGTATCACCTATTCTTCTCATTGAGCGTGACAATGTTCNTTTGCTTGTTGTTGCAGATTCTTACACCTTTTTTTGATGATGCTTATCTCACAGAACGGCAAAGGCACCACAATTACATTTTATCAAGGGTACGATCTTCGGTGGAGAGACTTTTCGGGATGTGGAAGTCCAAATTTAGAAGAGTGAAGAACATGTATTCTTACAATATCCATTATGCAGTAGACCACATTATTGGGAGCTTTGTTGTCCACAACTTCATCATTCTACAAGAACTACGGGCTCAGGTTTGTNTACGTAAATGTTGCCATTTTGTGTGCCAAGGTTGTTGTTACTAGCACTGTAATGAACTTTTCCTTTTGTTTACTTCTCTAATACAGGGTGTTTTTTATCGTAATCNCGGTGCTCAAGTGAATGTAGTGCAGGCACCTGTGCCATATGACGCAGAACGTGCAAGANAATTTGGAATAATGAAAAGAGAATATATTGCTCACTTATTTGATGCTCAAGCAGAAGAAGAATTATGAATTCAATTTGGGGAAAGGGATCGTTGGCTACAGAACTATAGTGAGAGTAGAGTACACGTGATTTTCTATTTCTCCGCATTTNTCTTCTAGAAGTGCACTTTTATATATGAAAATAAATATATTATATTCAACTCTAGAAGATTTTAAGTTATTATTAGACTTTAAGTCTTCAAAGTTTAAGAAATAAATNAATTTTATAAATATTATAAATGTACTATATAACTTCTCTTTTTCCAACTCTTGAAAATATTTTAATCGACTTCTTTAAATTTGTAAGTAACAATTTTATTATAAAAATATAAAATAATGATTTATTATATACATTTTTTGTAATCTTTAACACTANAGAATTATTTTCTCTTAAACAAATTTACAATTTATTACTTTAATCGGACAGTGTTTATTACTTTAACCGTTAANGAATCGACAGCGCCACTGTAATGGCGCTAACATTTATAAACTATCTTTGTGTACATATTGTTTATATATGTATATAATATACAGGTGTATATATTTATATATATTTAATAATATATTATGTACTTAAAATATATGTATATGTACAAATAAAAAGAATAAAAAGATTAACAAATTATTAAAATAAAAAGTTTTAAATTTAGAAAAATATATAAATATAACAAAAAAAAAAAAAAAATAAAGGAGCTACAAAAACTTTCTATGTTCACGTCGTTAACTCTAGGTAACGCTAAAGAAAAGTTTTATATATCTACTGTAGTGTTTTTTTAGCGATATTGATCCAATCATTCAAAATAGAAAAAAATTTGACTTTATATTTGTAATCAGCAACCTCAAAAACCTTTAACAACACTTCATTTTTTACATTAAACAATTTGTAGTATTTTTCCCTCTTTTTAGGACCGGCAGCCACTATAGTGATGCTAAATCAACTTCATAAATTTGCATATAAGAGATACGATATACATGTTAATAAAACTAGGATATTCAATTCTATATATACAAGATTTCAAGAAAAAAATGNTGGCCCTCTAAAGGTTAATAATATAAAACTATACTATATCTGCCCATTGGGAAGGGTGGACTAGGCAAGTCACAAGGAGNCAAAAAGTGGGTTATTTTAGACAACATGNAAATTGAATGACTCCTAAGTCCTGGCGGTGTTGTGGACATGGAATGTTCATGAGGCTGCAGCTATCTGTCCGCTTAAAATTCTATTTCTAGAGGCTGTAATGAGAAATAAAAAATGCATTGACCAATGTATGCAATGTTTTTATAGTTTCCAACATTTACATAATTGTTAACAATAATAACAATAATATTATTATATTATTATTGTTCAATAATATTATACAATAATAACAATAGTACAATATTAAGAATATATATATATTATAATAACATAATAGTTTTCAACGCGCGAGATTCTTACAATTAATTTGAGCATTGTTCAAACTTTTTTTGTAACTAATGACAAACAGCAAAAAACAGCTGCTACAGAATAGCATAATATAAATAAACTTACTTCAACATAAATAATATAAGAAAAGGAACAACTTCACAACCTGACCTACAAGGTAGAACACAAATGTGTGAACTAAAAATACACATGCAGCATCACAATTCATAATAATGCAGAAGATAACCGAAAGGAAAAAACTCTCAGAGATAAAATCTTATAGAAATCTTAAACATATTCAAATCTTAGTGGTCAGTAACATCTCAAGATAAAAATATAAAAAGCCTCTCTTAAGCATTACAAAGCAAAAAATGAATAAAAAGAAACTCCTACTATTCCTAAGACATGGTAAAATCAGAGATCGTTATTTGCAGGTAGTTGAAGTACTGGAGATTTAATGGTCTCCATAGTTAATGAACATAATGTACCAAGCCACTCCTTTAAAGTAGCACATAGCACAAAGCATGAAAGTCTTATTGGCTAGAATTACTTTTGGTAGTTTACTGAACTGAAATAACACATTTACTATTCAGCAGATCAAATTTAATTCACAACCAACAACAGGTAACTTAGATTACTATTTAAACATACAGTACTCTCTACAAATGATAGTAGACATATTGCACTAATTCTTAAAGTATGTCAAAAACATTAAATTTAAAATTTTAAAACTAAACGCAAAAAAATTTTTAACTTAAGGGAGAACGTATAACAAATATAACTTGCATCACTTTGGCTCTTTTCAGGAACAAGAAAAATTAAGATTAGTACCTTCATGATTTCACTTCTGAAAAAGCCACAACAGAGTGAAGGGAAGACTACATTTAGCTTCTAAAATGAGAACAACAAATAATAAATTAAAAACAAAACACAATTAAATGTTAATAGGCTACTGTTTCAAGTGCTTCAAAAGAGCTGTCCTTTCCCTGTAAGCATCAACAAAGTCTTGCATGACCAAATAATTGTCTCCAGTTTTCTGTCTATTGTTATGAACACTACTAAACGGTCGACGCATTGCACTTGGATTACCTGCCTTCCCAATGCGCTGGGAGTTTTCTTTATGGGAAGACAATGAAATTTTCTCCTTCTCAGTGATCACCTGCGATGAACCAAAGGCTGCAGTTACATGAGGTGTAACCGTGACGTCACCCTCCATGAGCTGTCTCATATCCTCATAGAACTCCCAGGAGTGTGTAGTAGAGGGACCAGGTGCCCCAGTTTGGCGCCGAGCTTGTTCCTCATCTCTAAACGTGCGCTTCAGTTGAAGCATTTTGCCTTCACAGCCAGCAGCAGAGTAGTAATGTTTCTTCTCATAAAGATACTTTCGAATTTTCTGCCAATACCTTGTCCTATACTCGTGCTTCTTGTAGTCTTCTCTGTGTTCAATACACGCTTTGATGAGAGCTTTAGTGGCCACATTTGTCCATACAGCAGCTGCAATTGTAGTAAGAAACATTAATAAGATGTGAAATGATTTCAAATGTTGTAACAATCACTGAAAGAAAGGAATTCCAAGGACGTCACACTTTACCTTCCTCGAAAAAACACAATGGTTCTATAAAGTCAGAGCTTGATACAACACTTTCTACTTCCTTCTCAAATAAAGAGCCTGTGAGTTTTCTTTCATCAAGCTTGCCTTTTATGACTCCTACAGGGACAAAGAATTCCATAAGAGAACCTCCACTTTTAGACATGGTCTTATAGTTGTTCACAATTACTTTTGTCCTTTTCTTCCTCAAACTGTCAATGTCTTCATATATATTGTGAACCCTTAAGTCAGCCTTTAAACGTGCTAAAGCAGAGTCATAATTGCGCTCTCTGAAAGAATGCCTCAGGTTATATAGAAGTTGTACAAATAGTTCATAGTCAGTCTTTAACCGAAGGTTCAGTGGGCGAGGAGCTGTAGAATCTGCATGACCTGAAGGGAGACAAGTTCTTTAGTACAAGCAACGGTACACAATTGAGAGAAAGATAGTGAACTGTTGACTGTAACTGTAAAGCAAACACTAAAACCTAGAAAAAATTCACAACATACCAATGAAAGCTTCTTCATGAATGGTATCAATGCTGCGTTCTTGCCTCAGTTCAATTTTCAGGTTCTCATAAGTCATGGGTGACAATAAGCACATTTTTTGCGCAATATTAGATGAGACAAACTGTCATAGAGTAAGACCTCGTTAGCAAAGATATCAAATATAAAAAACAAACAATTAATAGGAAAACTCGTACCGCCTTACCTCTAATTTTATGCTGAAATCAATCTCACTGTACTCGCCAATTGATTTGACAACTGCCATTAAATTTTCAACAAACCAAGCCTCTTGTGCTTTTTTGGTGAGAAACTTAACAAGATGTTCCTGTAGGAAAAAAAGAAAAAAAATTAGAAAAAAATGGTTTGGGAGAAATATTAAACACTTCAAGTTTATAAATCACCTCAGAAAACTTGTCACGTTTAGGAAGATTGAAAACTGACACAAAACAGCTCTTAAAGAGATGTACGTGATGAGAGCTACTTTCTTCCTCCTGCCGTGTCTCCTGCTTCAAAATCAGCTTACTTTCATCATACTGGAGAGGAGAAAGGAATGAAATGTGTGTGGCAACTTCCACAGAAGAGAACTGCCAAGAACAAAAAAGAACAGTGTCAGACCGTGATTTTGGATGGGATGCTAAGTCAACAAGCAAGAGATAATATACTGACCTCTACGCAAATTGTCCGTTTATTTTCATCATATGCATTGCACCTCTTCACAGCAATACTGGGTTTATTAAGAAATTCGTAACGCCAAGCAAGCTTATTTAGGAATCGTGTAAAGTGATCCTACCAGATTTAAACAAGAAGCATGTTAATAACAGAAGCAATATACAAAACTCCTAAAAATAGAAATNATGCTGGTGTCCTTGCTCACCATGANAAGGTCTTCTGGTAGTTGGCTGAAGAACACACAGTTTGTNAACACTTCTCTCACTGGCTGTGCNACGTGATNAGAGCTGATTTCTTCTTCCTGTCGTGTCTNCTGCTTCAAAATCAGCTCACTTTCATCATACTGGAGAGGAGAAAAGAATGAAATGCGTGTGGCAACTTCCACAGAAGAGAACTGCCAAGAAAGA